GTCGGACTGGAGCCAGAGTGGAGACGGGGGGTGGGGCTGATCGAACAGCTGAGCGACTATTGAACGCTGGGGTCGGCCGGACGGACAGGACTGACGGACTGGGGTGACCTGGGGAGTGGCGTGGAGGGACCCAGACTGATGACGGGGATTAGAGGAATGTTGTTGTGGAAAGTCCATGGTTTTGGAGCTAACGCTAGCATTAGAGGCCAATGTTTTGTGTCATAATGTTTTTCTCTAGTTTCAGTAATTCGTAGCTGTAGTCCTCATTGGCACATTCAGTTCACCCTGTGATTAGAATTATATTCAAAGTTTCACGGCCCAAATTTCACCACTAAGACACGAAATTATGTACTGCCTACATGTCAGCTTGAGATTGAGATCCACATCTTTGCTGGTTTGCGTTTGGCGTTGATTTCGATGACTGTGCCTGCTGATGCGCCGTTTCCCCAGCTCACAGTGTCTCTCGTTTGTGACCGGGCAGAACCAACGAGGTGTGGGTGTATGACTTTGTGTCGGGGGAATGGCGTCACCAGCGCTGCAGCCAGCCGGCGCCGCCGCCCCGGTACGGACACTCTCAGGTGGCGCTGGACGAGCGGCACATGCTTCTGCTAGGTGAGAGAGGGCCGTGGACCGGGCGGGTCGGAACCGGGGACGGCTAGCTACTCACGTAACTTAGACCCAGCACCGAAAGCAAGCGGAATCGCACCGAATCTGCTATTGGAACTCTTTTATTGGTTACAAATAGCAAATGTTTGTTGTATTTAAGTGTTGAATTCCATCATAATCAGTTGGTATTTTCAACTTTGTCCACCTCAGGTGGGTCTGGCGGTCCTAAACAGCTGAAACAGGACATCTGGCTGCTGGAGCTCGGTGAACCTAACGCCGTGTGGCACTGGCACCAGCTGACTGTGAACGGTGCTGAGAGGGCGCCCTCGCAGCTGTGGTGCCACCCCGCCTGTCAGGTGAGCGCCCGGGGATGATCCTTCTGCTGTCATTTGCCATCCTTGCTTCCCAACTGTTGTATTACAGCTACGCCCGCACAGCTACGCCCGCCCGCGCTCCTAACGATGGCATCAATTCTGTATCCCAATTGAGATGTTACCATCGCCCGATGTTCCGTTACTGCGGCATCCGGGACGCGTATATTCGAATCCAGTATGAGTAGAGCATGGGTCCCGAAAAATTCTTCAGAAACTAGAGAAATTCTCGCGGACTGATATGTGTGTTCCGCGTGGCCTCACGTTAACCTGTGATCTGCCTCTCCATCAGGTGGGCGACAAGGTGGTAGTGCTCGGTAGAGGTCGCGGCGACACTGATCCGCAATCCTCGGCGGCCGCCCCGCCGGCCGTCGCACCACCCGCCCTAAGACTCGAGTGAGTAACGTCCGAGCGATAGAACGCGGAGAGACGTGATACTGTGGCAGTCTGAGCGTTATACTTCAGTGGGCTGCCTCATCCATCCACTGAGTCGGTCCATTGGGGAGAACAGCTGCTGAAGAATACCGATGACGTTTGTTTGTGAATAATTATACAAGTCCAATGTCCATAATTATGATAAATGAAAGCTGTCGCTGCGGAACGTTAGTTTCATGAAGTACATTGCAGCTGCTCACGCTCGCCTACATGTGTAGAATTTGTTCGTTGTATCATGTATCTTCCCAGTCCCAGTCCTCTCTCCGTTCACCGTTGCATGTCCTTGTTGTTGTTGTTGTTGATTCCCCTCGGCGGCAGGATCACTGCCGCGAAGCCTCTCGGCTTTGAAGTCGTCTGGTCGCGGCCGCCAGGGCCGCGACGACGTCCGCGCTCCGAATCTCCTCGTGTGACGGGTGAATGGTGCCCAGCAGGCGGAACCTCAGGTTCATCAGGGCAGGGCATCGCAGCAGAACATGTCCGGGCGTGTCCGCCTCCTCCCGACACACCGGACACCGTCCCGCCCGGCATCCATGGTCATTACAGCCAGGGCACTCCACCGTTGGGTTACGGCCGATCCTGTGCATATACTGGGCGGAGCCCGACCAGTGGCCCGCCCGCAGCTGGTGCACCTCTACAGCCGCGTGGCGGTCCAGATCAGCCGCAGGTGGAGGCAGGCGTTCGCCCCACAGATCCCGGTACCACCCGCTGGGGCGTTGTCTGCCGATTTTTGCCCTCGCTGCTCTGGCGGACGCCCTCAGCACGGTCCTCACATCGAGAGGGACCTCTTCCTGCGGGAGCGCCGACGCCTCCTTGGCCAGGACGTCGGCCCGCTCGTTCCCTTCTAAACCGCAGTGGGAAGGGACCCATTGAAGGTGGAGCCGACGAGCACCCTCTCTTGTCAGGAGGGTGAGGGCATCCCAGACTTCGCTGTTGAGCTGGGTCCGTTGCTCAGAAGGGCCGCTTCTGAGGGCCGCCAGGGCAGCTTGGGAGTCTGTGCATATGACGATGGGGACATCTTCGTGAGCCGGGTGTTCTAAGAGGTGTCTCAGGGCCGTGCGGAGGGCTACCATCTCGGCCCGGTAGCTGCTACACAAACTACCGGCCGGGGCACGGAGCTCTTCTGTTGAGTCGTCCGGCCACACGATGAGTGCTCCAGCGCCGCCGTCCCTGAAGCCCTCCTCCGCTGAACCGTCCGTCCACACCCAGGTGGCACACTGGGGGAGGGAGGCCAGACAGAGGGCAGCCTCTTGTCTTCGGCGATCAGCGGGCGATCCAGGTGGTGGGCGCGTCCCGGCCTCCAGGTCAAAGGTGACCGGCGCGGGTCGCAGCCACGGTGGGGTACGGGGCTGAAGGATGGGCTCCATCCTCGCCTCCACTCCAGCCTCCGTCCACGCCACCTGTCCCACTTCTCTCCAGCCTGTCACCGTCGTCAGCCGCTTCGCTGCCGTGCTGTCCGCGACACGCCGGAGGGGGTCCTCTTCTGGGAGGGCTCGCGCCTTCGCCAGCAGTCGAGCAGCTAGCGTGGTCCTTCTTGAGGCCACCGGGGCGAGGCCCGCTTCCGCCATCAGCGCATGTGTCGGGGTCGACGCGACGCAGCCCGTGATGATCCGGGCTGCAGCCCTCATCTCGCGTTCCAACACCTCGACGTGGGACGGTGGGGTTGAAGGGAGCCAAGCTTCCGCCGCGTGCTCCAACGCTCCTCGTACGTAGCCATTGGCTACCGTGCGGAGCTGCTTCTCCTCCAGACCCCAGTCCCGTCCAGTCAGGCGCCGCAGGTGGGCGAGCCTCGGCCGGGTTCGTTGTTTCAGTTTCTTGCAGTGCTGACCGAAGTGTAGGAGGCGATCCAGCGTCACACCGAGCAGGTTGAGTGTGTCTCGCGCCTTCACTGTCACTCCGGCCACCTTGATGGAGAGGTCCACTGCGTCCCTGGCCCACTGCGAGAGGACCATCACCTGCTTCTTTGGTCCGGCGACCACCATCTTCGACGACCTTGCCCACTCGACGAGGGAGTCGGCTGCCAGCTGGGCGCGCCGCTTGGCCGTCTGGATGTCCGCGCCTCCGCATGTTGCATGTCCTCGTTCCGTTCACCGTTCACCCTTTCGGTTCCAGTCAGCATCCCGTCAGTACGAGCCCAGCCGCCTCGTTGCCCACCCTGTCCCCATTGCACCACCCCCGTCTGCCTGGTGCGCCTGATAACGCCCCACTCTGCCTGCAGTGAGCGGCAGGCTGTGCGGATCCCGGTACCTGCCGGCTCCAGTCGCGGGGTGCCGGTCGTCCCGGTCCGGCCGGCGCCGTCCGACCAGAACCGGGGACTGGCCTCGGTCCTCGACACGGCCGCGTCCCGCCGGCGGCCCGGCCAGCCGCCGCCCGGCCCCGAGACGGGCTCTCTGAACCGGCGGCCGGCGCCGGCGGCCGAGCCCTCCGGCCGGCCCTCGGTCCGTCCGAACGCCTGCTGCAGCCGAGAGCGGCGCCTGGCCGCCCTGGAGAGGATGCAGCAGCGCCTGGAGGCGGCGGCCGCCGAGCGGGCCGCGCCGCACCCGCGGCCGCGCAGCCGCCGCCCGCTCACCGCCGGCTACCGCCTGGTGGCGCCGGCCGGCCGCCGCCCGCTCGTGCTGCACGTGCTGGACGTGCGCAGCGCCGTGGCCGAGCGCTCCGTGACGTGGCGCCAGTGCGCGCGCCAGCACGGCCCCGACGAGCGCATCCTGTACTCTCTGGTGGCGGCGCGCGCCGAGCTGGTGCTGTTTGGCGGCATCGTCACACCGCCGCGCGCTGCCGAGACGGCCGCTGACCCGGAGCCCGACCAGAACGCCGCCTTTAACGCCGTCAGCTTCCTGGCCATCCCTGCCGACATGTTCCAGTGAGCGGCCGGCGGCGGCTGGTGGAGGACAGGTGGGCTGCGGCAGTCCCGAGGGATAGCGGCACGTGGAGCGGCTCAGGGGAGATTTGTAAGTGTCGCCGGCGAGGCCCGTGTCGCGGTACGTCATGGAACTGTGATTGTTGAAACTGTTACTCATACTCGTATCTGCACCTGTCTTCGTTGTGCCGTTGGTGACTAGCTGTGTCGCTTGGTGCTTTAATTAATCCGCGACGACCGCGCCAGTCAAGGAGCAGCTCGAGCCGTGCTGCAGCGTTCACTGTGTATGGGACCAGGCTGGCGGGCGATGGGTCTCGGTGCTTCCCGTGTTTCATTGCTGCCGTCATATGTTACTCTCAGCTGTTGCAGCCGAAGTGCCCACGCTCGCCGAGTGTTTATATAGTCGGTTGGTGTCAGACTGAACTCCGTACGGTGATGGGGGTTCAGGCCAGTCCCCCCAGTGGTTCTGCCGAGTGCCACCACAGAGTCTTTCGGTTGCCCTCAGCTGGTCAATAACCAAGTGCCAGTTTGGTGAGGTGTGTTCTGTGATCAATAATGTGAGGTAATAAAGTACCCCTAAAGTTTAAGAAGAACTATCATGACTGATTATCTCTTGCGAGTCCACGAATGTTTGCGAATGTGTGTCTCCAGGTGGCCAAACATGTCAACTGAATTAGCTTCCCCGTTATACAGTCATTTAGTTCTGCCGGATCCGATCAGCTCTAAAACATCCGTTTTAATGTTGCTCTGTATTTTCACTATTCAATAATAGCCGTCTCTGAATATCGAACGAAACGGCCGGGTCTGGCGACCAGCACACACAGATATATGATATCTCCTACTCGGCACCACATAATGCACATCCCTGCACGGCTAAACACGGGCAGCCGGGAAACAGCCTTTCTAAAGAGCGCACCACAGCACAGGCGCGGCCGACAGCCGCTCCGCCGACAGGGGGGTCCGCCCCGCCCCCACCGACAGGGGCGGGAGGGGGGGGGGCACAACCGACAGACGCCGGCCGCGCGTGCTCGGTAACAGCCGGTGCCACCAGGCGGGTCCCCGCGGAACCCCCCGCGCCACTGGTCACAACGGGGCCAACAATCAAAACACGCGTGAAGACAAAATCGATGAACACCTCCCACAGGATTGGGGCAACTTCTGAACTGCTGCCACGTCGGGCCGACCCACAGCGGGGCTCGTTGAAAGCATTGGTGCGCGGCGGCAGCCGCAGTCCCCATTCCACCACCCAGCAATAATGCAGAGTTTCGACAATCCGGTGGCAGGCGTTATCTCCAAAGTTTCGTCTCTCTGAGGTCACAAAGTGTGGCGTCTTTGTACACTGGGGGGCCGAGCGGCAGTCGATATGTGCCCGGTCCCCGCGGCGCCGGCACGACCACTATATCACAGCCTTCTGAAGCCGGCCGGCCGGCCGCAGGGGACCTCTATTTGATTGGCGCAAAACTGGGGCTCGGGCCACCGCCCGGCACGCCTGGGGAAGGACAGAGCCCAGAGTTAGAACAGAGCACAGGAGTGCATGGAGAGTCGTCACGAACAGTAGAGTTCATCACAGTGGAAAACGAGCGAGTATGGTGGGCACTGGGCAGGCTTAACCGTTATAAAGTGAAAGACGAAAGATGAATTGAATCAGCATCTATTGAACCGTGAATAACTCAGACTTCGATACCAATGACTGAAAACTTGAGGAATGCCCACAAGGTGTACCTATGACTTAATGACCCAATTACGGTTTAAATACTTTAGGAATAATCGCAAGACGCAAAGTTCAGATCGATTGACCAGCTAACTTAAGCAATTCTTCGGAGGTTCATACTATCAGCTCAGAGTCATTTGCCCCTCGCCAGAGATGGGCACTGCCGTCCCGTTTCTCACCTGTGAACGGGTGGTAGCCGCCCGGCGGAGGGAAGCCGAGGCCGGGCCTCAGCGGCGCTGACAGCGGGCTGCCCGGGGAGCCGGCGCGCACGGCCGCCCCCGACGAGCTCGGCGCCGCGCTGGCCGTGGTGCGCGCCCGGTCCGGCACCTCCAGCAGACGGTGCGCCGGCGGCGGCGGGTACGGAGCGCCCCGCACCGCCGCCGAAGACACCTCACTGGCGCGCGAGGCGGCCGTGGTGGCGGCGCGGCTGAGGTCCTCCGGCGCCGCCGATACGGCCGCCGCCGAGCTGACCGGGAACCGCGCCGGGTAGCCGCCGTTCAGCAGCACTGGGCCGTACGGCAGGCTCGGCATGCCGGGCAGGCCGAACGGGTAGCCGTAGGCGGCCGCGCGCGCCGCCAGCGCCGCCGCGTCCGCCGGCCGCTTGTCGGCGGCCGTGGTGGGCGGCGGCGCCGGGCCGGCCGAGGAGGTGGGCGGCGGCCGTTTGGACGCCACTGACACGGGTACGGGCGCGCCGCGCTGGCTCGGCAGACCGCCGGGACGCGCCGGAGTGCCCAGCGGCGGCCGGTGCGCCGGCGCCGGCTGAGGCGAGGCGTCCCGGCCGGCGGCCGAGCCCGTGTGTGCCGCACGCGGCTCCGCAGACGGCGGCGCCGAGGTCCTGCCTGACTCGGCGTCCGACAGAGCATCCCTCCTCTCGGCGGGAGGCGGGCCGGCGCCGCCCGGCCCGACCGACACGGCCGGCCGCTCGCCGGCCAGCGCCGCTTTGTACTTGGGGTCGGCCATCATGGGCAGCGGGTAGCCGGCTGGGTCGATCGCCGGGTACGGGTATGCCGCCGGCAGGTACGGGTACGACAGGTACGACAGCTGGCCGCCGGCGTACTCGCCGGCCGGCGGCGGCCCACGCGCCCCCTCCTTCGAGTCCACTCCGTCAGCACCCGGCTTACCGGCGGCCGGCGGCGGAACGTACACACCGGGCGGAGGGAAAAACGAACGGTAGTAGACACTCGACGGCGGCAGCGCGCCGGGCAGCTCCTTTTTGTCGGCGGCTGCGATCCCGGCCGGCGCCGGTCGGCCCGAAGCGTCCACAGGCGCGCCATCGTCGGAGATATCACTGTAGGCGGGGCTGGCGGTGCCGTCCCGCGAGGGCCGCTCGGCCGGCCCCACCGTTCCGGTCGGCACCCCACTCGACACTGCACCGGCGCCGACGCCCAGCGGCAAGCTGGACACTACCGGCGGCACTACACTGCCGGACACTACTCCAGGAGCGGTGCGCGGTGCCACCCGAGACGGATCGACGCACTCCGGCCGCGGGCTGGCGTCGGGCGTCCGCGCACCGTTCTCTTTCCGCCGCTTCTTGGGGCGCTCCTTGTCCTTTCTGAGCGACTCGAGCGCAGGGTTAATTGCGGATGTTTCTCCCAGTATGGTCGGTTTCGGCTGGATCGGTTTTAGATGGGCCACCGACTGACCAAAGCCTCCGCTCGCCGGTGGCACGGTCACCACGGGTAGAGCCGGTGTCGCCACGCGCGCCGCCACGCTCTTGGGTTTGTACTTGGCGGCGTCGACGGCGGCCATGACGGGCACGGTGCGCGCCGCGGTGGTGACGGCGGCGGCGGCCGACGGGCGAGACACGGCGCCCAGGGCCGGCGGCGGCGCGGCCGGCTGGTACACGGAGGCAGCAGCGCGCAGCGGCGCCGGGCCGCCCGCCAGCAGTGTCGGACCCGGTCCGGCCGCCGCCGACGCCGTGGGTACCGCCGTCGGCCCGAAGCGTAGCACGCCCGATGTCTTGACGTTGCCGTTGCTGTCGCTGATCTGCACCTTGGCGTGCGTGGGCCGCGGCTCGGCGGCCGGCGGCTCTCCGGCGACCGGCGGCGGCGGCGGCGGCGGCGGCGGCGCCGACAGGCCGGTCAGCTGCGACTGAGGAGTCACTGCTGCCGACACGGCCGCCACCGGCTTGGCGGGGGCCACGGCGCCGTTGGGCGGTGCTGACGCCGCCACCGGAGGAGCCGCCGGCGCCGGGGTGGCCGGCGTCACCGGCGACGTGGCCGGCGCCGCCGCCGACGCCACCGGAGCGGGCGAGGGCGGCGCCGCCGGCGGGGTCTGCGGCGCCGTCTGGGTCGGAGCCGTGGCAGCCGCAGACACGGGAGGCGGGGGCGGCGTCTTGGAGGCGGCCGGCGACTCTGGAGACGAGTCGCCCGTCTCACGCTCGCCCTCGCTGAGCCCGTTCGAATGGGCGTGACTCTGGTGGTACTTGAGTCCGTTGACGTGTCGGTACTTTTTCGAGCAGCCCGACTCGGGACACTCGATGAGCGGCGCCGGGGTGGTGGCCGCCGGCGGGGTGGGGGCCGGTGAGGGCGGCGCGGCCGCCGCCGGCTCCGGGGTGCCCGGCGCAGACGAGGCCGGCTCCGAGAGGCTCGTGTTGGAGCTGGTGCGGCTGCGCTTGTTGGGGGTCCGGTCGGCGGCGGCGGCCTCGCGGTCGGCGGCGCGCCCCTTGCGTTTGACCGGGCTGGCCGGGGCGGTGAAATTGGCGCCGGCCGAGTTGGCCGTGCTGCGCCGGCCTTTGCTCTGGCTGCGCAGTTTGGACTGGGCCGACGCCCTGGTCTCGGCCACGGTCGGCTCCGGCGCGGAGGCGGCGCCGCGGCCTCGCTTACCGCGCCCCTTGCCACTGCGCGACTCCAGCTCCGCCGTCGGCGAGTCGTTAAACCTGGCGACAAAGCCGGACGTCAGACAGTGGCACTAGTAAGAATGGAACACTATCTAACACAACCTATCAGTGCAATTTATCGTAAAATTGGACGAAGAAAATAAAGCTTAAATTATCCACTTTGCTTGCCTACTTTAGTGAGGAACAACCATGAAAATTTACTTCGTAAACGGATTCAGCCATGAGTGAATTCCATGTCTAACTGACCGCTGTCAGCATCGTACATCCCCCGTCATCCCCCTGCACCAGCCGCTGACACCCACACGGGTACCGTACCTGGGCGGCGCCCAGTCGTGGTGCCGGGTGTAGTCGAGAAGGGTACCGACGTACGTCTTCCCCCGCCAGGTGACATTCACTACCAGAACGCCTGAAAGTAGGAGATGAAACATAGTCAGTAACTGCCGGCGCACGGGCACGCAACACAGCGGGGGCACACAGCAGGGCGAACGGCGAGGTTCCGGGCTGGAAACGTGGGATGAATGTTTTCCCTAAAGGATTTGTAGAGAAAAAGGTCATGAAAACGGGTATCAGCCACCTCGTAAAGACGTTAGCTTAGTGGGAACATGAATGTCAACGCTACGATTGGTAAGCTTCCTTACAGACTGAATCATCCGGATCATTGTCTCGATGACTGATGTTCTCAAACAGCGGCGTCGAGCTCCTTCAATGTCGAGCTAGTCTGCAGTGCTATGCTAGCGTGACGACCTGAGGCGTTCGATTATTTATAAAGGATATAAGCTCCTTTGGTGTCGTGTAGTTTCAAGGTATTTTATTTCCCTTTTTATTTAAACCTTGAATTCAATGGAATGGGTTATGTTGGCCCATATGACATGAGACTATTTTACGTTCCATTTCAATGGTGATGAGACCCAACAGACACTCGTGAAACCCGTGACCGTTTGATGGTCTCGTGTTGATTGGACCTAGTTTTGAACTGGTGACGGCTCCCGATCACAACCGTTTCAGAGAGCGACTGTTGTAAAGCGCACTGACACTACATTTTTAGCAGACATGCTTTTGTAACACCGGCGCAACTAAACCCTCTGCTGAAAGAAACAGGAAAGTCCCGACAGCGCAACAAGACACAACATGCAAGAACAAACGATGTGCCGAACCAGATAACTACATACATTCATTGACAATAGATGGCGGTAGTACTGACGCCTGAATGTATGCTGTTCCGCAACACCACGATATTCTTCCGTAGCTCTCCATAGATGGCGTTAGTGTCTTACGCCTGCAGATAGGCTGTACCGCACGTCCCATTACCACATAGAATAAGGCCGCCAATTCGGTCCTGGGACTTGGTAGTGTATGTGTTTGATGATATTCAGTTTCGTTAACAATGGTGAGTCATCAATGAGCATTGAGGGCAAATTTCATGATCACACATGACAAGTGAAATATAACAGCACCTAATCAATCCTCATTGAGCATTAGGTACTGACAGCTTTTGAGCTGATTGATCAACATATGTAACAAAAGGGGAAAAATATCGGCCCCAATGCGTCGCAGAGCAGTGTCCTACCATCTAGCTAGAAAAGCGCTTCCTGCCATATATGGTCTCGTCTCTCGCTCCACAGTCAACACTTCGGCAAGTCTCCGCAGCAGGCACCCAAAGCCACAGTCGCCAGTCAGGCCCAGTCCGGGCGGATCAGCTGATCACGGGCGGGGCAGTTAGTTCACCGAGCTCTCCACAGATAGCGCTGGGTGTCCCGTTTGCCGGCCGCCACGGGAGCCTCGCGGCGCCGTGGGAAAGGCCAGCTGGCGGCGGTCACCGTGGGAGTGACGGCTCCGCTCAGACACTAGACAGTAGCCGGTCACCGGCGGCTACCGGCCAAACGGCGACACGGGAATTATTCAACCGAAAGACTCTTCATTTCAGCCATGTGTCTCGCCGGGTAACGAAAACCATCAATCAATAATTTATCCAGGCGACAGTAGAGTACGGCTTATTGCCGTGATGATCTCATAAAAACGTCATTCCCAAACAGAGGTCTGAATATGGGTGTATCAGTGTCCGGTTTTTTGTTCCGCTGCCATTATTACCTAACATAAAAAGCGCACGGGGAGTTCGCCGCCGATTGACCTTGGGGAAAGTTGATTGGATCGTCACCAGCAGGCAGCAGAACACTGCCGGCTGCTGGGATAAATCTCCAGCCAAAACTCCACTAAAGCCAGTGAGAACGACCTTCGGACTCGGGTTGATTGACAACGCTTAGCGTCTAACTTTGGACGGCGCCGATAGTGCTATCAGTGTCAGTGAGCAATTACGATAGGACTGTTGTTATACCTTGTCCGAAAGATATCGCCAGTAAACATTGAACACATCGCATTCCTACATTGAAGCGTTGCGCCAAACACATCTTTATGAGTTGTGACGGCCCATCAAATGATAGCCGACTCCCTTGAGGCCCGGAGGCGGGACGGCGCACCCCTCTGACGTCAGCCGTCACAACTGATGACGTCACTGTGGCAGCTGTCGCGCGGTACTGACCTCCCTGCGTCTCCTGCCACACGATGCCCTCCAGGTTGACCGTAGTGCCCGGCTCGCAGGGCCCCAGGCTGTCCGGCTCGAGCAGTGTTCCGCGGCTCACCAGGCCGTCTGTGCCGACACACATGTCCGACACGCTCTGTAACACAGAGGTCACACAGGTCACAGGTCGGGTCACATGGGTCACAGGTCAGTCACAGCGTACATCACGGAAAAGGTCCCGGCAAATGTCACAGCACAGATGGCGGACAGTGGTACGGGTCACCATCATAAAGGTCGTCTTACAAATCGCGGGTTAGGAGCGGCTGACAAAATGGCAGACGGTTAAACACGACACCAAGTTTACCTATATCACGTGTTATTTCTGCAATTTGCAGATCACAGTGCTGAAATTTACTTTTGGAAGAAAGCACTGAGCGTTTTCATCTGCCGATGCATGGTTAGCCAGTACGATCGACACTACCAAGAATAAAACAGCGAGATCGAGGAAACGGACAAATAGAATCAATAGAGGCATTTTGTAGTCACGTAAAGGCCACAGCCGATCCGTCACTACCACGAGTTCCGTACTCATTGGCGAGTGGCGGTAACGGCGCTGGACTGGAGCCAAATAACCAATCAGGGTTTCTGGGACAGGCAGCCGCCGAGGTCATTAACGCGGTCCCATTGGGAAGGACTGCAATAAGTTCAGACAGCAACAGACGGTGCCGTGGCCACCATCGGTCGCTGAGCAAAACAGACCAGCGCATCAGACCATCGCATCAGACCGGCAGACGTCAGACTGCAGCGCACCAGACCAGCGGGTCCGGCCGGCCGTCCCTGCCGCGTTCCCAGCGCGCCGCGGCGGCCACCGTTCCCTGCACGGTCATGCGGCGGCGATCGAGATCGGCACGGCGGCCGCTCCTTCCCAGCACCCGGCACGACAGGAGGCGCCGCTCAGCCTGCCGCCGCCGCCGCATCGCGGCGGTCCCAGCCGAGCGTCACGTGTCACGTTACGGCGTCACGAATCACGCTCCGGTCTCACGTCACGGTACACATTCCCGTCACTGCACAGTGCACTGTGACCAGTCTAATGATATTGACCCACCGCCGAGCTGTCGTTCAGTCGTCCCTGAGACGCTTCCCAGCCTATCGCCTCATCACAATCCTTCCCTGCCTCAGCACGGCGTTCTAACAGTCAGCCCGTTGATGTGAGCCCACGTCCCATTGTCTAGCGCTGTCCTCGGCTGGCCTTGTTTGGCCGGTTTCCATAAAACTCCATCAGAGTCGGACGACACGTCAGGACGGCCTCAACAAATACAGACGCGCCGCGCGCCGGTGCCGGCGCCGCCCGCCCGCCCGGCTCCGTCAGCTCCCAGATGGACCGATAGCCCTGTGCGCCGCCCGCCGTCCGCTGCTGCCGCCTGGTGGCCGGGATCGGAACTAGGACGGTGGTCTCTCACGCGTCACACGCGCATTTCCGGTGGATTAGGGGAGGGTGGGGGCACGCCCGTCCGCTGAATAGGCTCAGAGAGTGGCGAGGGGGCAGATGGCCAGAGATCGACATCATTTACATCTCCGGTGTAATTCGTCTCGCTTAGATAAACAACAAAAGCAGAACAGCAGAAAATAGAACAGCAGCAACCAGCCAGCCAGACCACTGCAAGATTTGTCACTCGCTCGACATTGCTTCATCGATTTCACCACTTTTTCTCTTCGACTCGAGTGACTGATCGCTGAAGGATGAACATCTGTTGTTTCTGGGATGCTGGATAATCACATCAGCGCAGAGCTCTGATCTGCCTCGGTGCACCATCCTCAGCGGGCCGTAATCACTCATCTCTCTGCCCATCGCTCTTCTCTCCCTCCCTCCCTCTCTCTCTCTCTCTCTCTCTCTCTCTCTCTCTCTCTCTCTCTCTCTCTCTCTCTCTCTCTCTATCTCTCTCTCTCTCTCTCTCTCTCTCTCTCTCTCTCTCTCTCTCTCTCTCTCTCTCTCTCTCTCTCTCTCTCTCTCTCTCTCTCTCTCTCTCTCCTCTCCGCGACTCTCGGCTCGCCACGGGCAGCAGCCACGGCCTTGGCAGCTCTGACCAAAATCTCCAATCGGCCAGTAGCGGACAGTAGTCCGTGCCGTTTCGCAAACTCCGGCGCGCTCGTTTCGGCCGACTCCGCTGGCCGTCACGAGGACAGAGCGCAGAGAGATGGAGAGAGGGGCGGACAGCTCGGCCGCGGAGGAGATTGGGTCTGGCACGGCTCAATGGTCCGCACTGCCGACCGACGTCCGGTCCGACACGGAGGGACGCCGCCGTGACGTCACTGGGGGGCCGGCTGGCGGAACAGTGACGTCACAAGGGGGTCGGCCGGCGGCGCGCAGTGACGGGACATGTCGGGACAACACGGCACAGAGAGATAACGGGCACTGACACAGGAAAATGGAGGAGATGGGTGTGTGAATGGGACTTGTTGGCACCGGTAAACAAAGAGGGTGGAGACGATCGGATGTCTGCAGCCGATCCAGATTCCAGAACCACCGAGATAGACACGGAAAAGACGACCACGTTATCAGCAGGACGACGGACCATGGAGCAGAGCGATCCAGAAATAGCCGCAGGAAGTGGGAGCACCAGCGTGTCTGGTGCTGCCGTCCGGTATCAGCACGTGTCAGTGGACGGACCGGCCGGGCCAGCTCGGCGGCGGCGGTTTATCTCAACAAACCCCAGTCCATCTGGCAGCCCGCCGCGCGGCCGAGAGGGCTGGCTAGCCGGGCAGCTGGCCGGGCAGCTCGCACTCCCTCCCGCCACCGACCGTGCCTAAACAACCACTCCAACTCATCAAAACCATCAGCCACCACACGCACGCCCACGCACCAGCGCACAGGGCCGGCGCAACACGCGCCCGGCGCACGCACACGCACGCGCGCCGCCCGCCGCACACGTGTCAAATTCAATATGAGCCGCGCGCGCCGGGCACCTTATACATATTGATGAGAGGCGGGCGGGCCGTCGGCAGATGGCGGGGGTTCCAGCCGTTCGCTCCATGGCGGGAGCACGAGCTACGAACGCTCGGTCCATGACAGAGGACCTAGCCGTTGGTTGCACGGTGGGCGGCCGCTCGTTCCACAGCAGCTGCTGTGCTGAGGTCGTAACCGCTGCTACCGTTGTCAAAGCGAGAGACTCCTACACTGCAATCCCCCAGAAAGCGACCCACCAGCGGCCGACCTTGGCGGAAAAACGGACCAGCCCACTGCAGTAGCGGCGGAACACCTTCAATTAAGGGGGGGCACTGCCGACTTTTGATCCCATTCTTTCCATGCAACGCCCTTAGGACTAATGTTAAAATGCCGAAATCAAAGGGGGCACGGTGCCCCGGTGCCCTCCCCGTTCCGCCGCCATATCACCAGACATAAACAAGAGGAAAAATCATAAGTAAACGTTCTTTGTTGTTGTAGAAGACAAACCAAAGACCGAGCTCCAGTCTTTTAAGGAACAAACAATTGATCAAGCGACAATCAAACATGTCAGCAGCATCAGCTAATTAAGATTTAACAACTGAGCAAACCGATTATCATCTGTCTCCAGTCAGCCAGATAATACACACGTCGTCCCGCTTCCTTCCCTGACCGCGTCGGGCCCAGCCCCCCAGCAGATGTTCGCCGTGCCCGCCCGCGCGGGCGGCCCCACAGACTGCCGGCCTTCCGAACCAGCCGGGATCGATGAGCCCGCGGCGTCCGCCCAACGCCGTCCGCCCCGGCCCGGCCCGCTAAATAATTAACTCACCACCGCCGTGATACCCAACCGGCACCGGCAAATAGATCGGAAAATTCAAATCAGCCATAGACGATGAGCGCTAATGTCTCTGTCCAGGCGGCCCGCAGAATACCGCCCGCTCGGACAATGAGCATAATACGTACACCGCACAGTGGGCCGATATGCCATTCTAGCGCGACAGGGCCTGAATCTTCGAACGGAACCCTTGGTTTTTCGCGAGTAATTCGCGTAAAAAGCGGCCGATCGCAACGAAACTTTCAGTACCCTCGCGATAACTACTTTTACAGCTAACCTGAAAATTTCATGACCCTGACCTTAATGATCTTTGACCTGTGACCTTCTTTCGAGACCATGTTTGGCCGGAATCGCGATTCAGCGTATGTCGGCTCGCATTAGTTGCGGGTTTGCAGTCTTTTCTTGGTTTAAAGCGTTCAAACATGGGATATTATGTTGCTCCCATGCATTAGGGTGGGTGTTAAGGTCACCAGAAGGTCAGGTAAGGTCATTGACCTTTGATGACCGTTCACTTTTTCGAGTTTTACATGTTTCTAGGCTAGTTTTTGGAGCTGAATTCGAATCTAGCAACCATTTGAACATTTACTATGTAGCTTTTGTGCCTTCGTAACATGTTACAAAGCTGTCAGAGGCGGTTGCCACCTACTGCAAATACCCGGCAAACCCCTTACTGGTTGACCTGACCTGACCTGACCCGACCTGGCCTAAATGCATGAAGACATCATCCATGATCGTAAATAACATTATATTCGTGATCAGCACCCAAAAAACCCATAGCAGCCACCCTTTACGACGTTCTAACAGGTCCCGATTTTCCCGACTTTTGTGTCATTGACCTGACCTGGAAGGTCAACCGATGACCTAGGACCTTACAATTGGGTATTATCAGCTTCCTCCTGTCACGGGCAACACGTTCGTCTTTTCCGCGAAGCTCTAGCTCGATCAGGGGCGACACGGCGGGGGGTGGTCCAACGGACCCCTTCTATACGTTCGCGGCTGGAAAAACACCACTAGGGGCGAGGGTTAAGCCAAATCTGAGGGCTTATTTGAGAAAGACCGCTAAAAGAGCAATTGAATGCACTTTTCCGCGACGATGTAGCTCTATTGGTCCCCGAGGTAAGGGCCGGTTTTCGAGAAATGTTGATATATGCAACATTTTACCTTTGATGACCTCTGGTGACGTGACCTTTGACCTGACCTAGAAATGACTAATTACTCCATCCAGAATTTCGGGCGCTCTTTCGAATGCCACTTACTACGTGTCGCTATGTGGCCCAAGAGCCGAGTTAGAAGGGGGAGTGTTCAATCAACACCTCCCGGCCCGGCGCGTTTGACGCCGAGCACCGGTCCGGCGCGGGTTGATGTTTGGCTGCCACATCCA